GCATCCCATAATAATCCTGAAAGACCTTCTTTGCTTCCAAATCTTTTCTCTGATAACCAAGTGACATTATAAACACCACACCATTTCTCAATGTAATCCTTACAGTAAACGTATTTCTCTTAAAGATACGAGGAGAAGATATAATGGATGAATTCACGTCTTCCAACATCACATGAAAGGTTTCAAAATTATCATCAATTGAGGTAGATAATTGCGAGATGAACATGAGTCGTTTATCCGTAAGGAATATTTTTCCGGTTTCTAAGTATTGTTTTATAGGAGTTCCTTCAACCTCCACGCGAAATTTTACTGGCTGATGTCGGTAAAAGTAAGATTCGCCTTCCAATGGGATTGGGATTCTTTCATGTTCTTTATACCGTGTTTCAAGTGAATTTATATACATTTGCAATGAGGAATAGCTTCAAATTTTTAATTTAAATTTCCCCCTAAAAAATGATCCGTTTATATTATTAAATTATTAAATTTTGCTTATAAGATCTCATCTCAAAAAATTGTATGTTTAGCATAGGTACGTGGGTAAAAAACATTTTAAACGTTTCATCTGTACAACATCTAGTTTTTTGAATAATTTACGCCATCAACCACAATTTGTTACACTTTTATAACCATAAACAGGTGAAAAACAATATAACAAAAATAATATTCTGATAAAGTTAAGGGAAAGAACCACTAAAGGTTATATTTATTATAAAATGGATAAATCACGCAAAGATCATTCATTATCAACACTCTGGTGGTTGATGATCGCTGCAATTGATCTTCAGATAATTAAAATTATTAAATTGATTAGAGGTTGTATATGTTGACCTTTAATAAAGAATTATCAACTTTCGTTCGCGTTGAGCTTCTATTATTTAACCCTTGCCTGAGAGAATGTGGTGTGAAGTTTGGATTATGTGATCAAAATCCTGGACTTTAAATAATTCTTTTTCGAACAATTTTCATTAGAATAGATTAATGAATTTAGTGAGACAGACACAACCTTGAGTCGCATAATATTCATGTGTGTTTCCTAACAACGAACATATATATACGGAAATGAAAAACCTTATTATAGGGTCGAAACCTTTCACCGGACATCTCTGAATCATTCCTGATAATTATATTATTATAAGGGTCAACCTATTAAACACTTCCATATTTAAATAATGTAACTTATGCACCACTTACAAGGAATCATCTTTATACCCGTATTTTAATCGAAATGCATATTGTCGAACTTTTCTTGTACTTTATCGATCATTGTTACTAATTCCGATAATATTTGAATTATGTCTAATTTCATGTAAAAATTTCATGTTTTTCCATTCCAAAATGGCGATTGAAATATTTTTGACACTCCAAAAACTCATCAATTTCTTCATAAATTATATCAAAATTCTATGAAATGGCTATTTCAAGCGGAATATTATGTTGATAAAATTCATAATCTCTATCAAGTACAGTTATCAAATTTAAAGGACGAGTAGAAGTATTAATTCACGTTTTATTTTTTTTTAAAGAGGTTGTTAAAAGAATCTGATTGGATTTCCCTATCGTATTATATGACGGGAGTGGCTGAATATTAGTAAAATTATATAATTTACTTATTTATTTTTATTTCAAATAAATATCAGGATTTATGGGAGAATTTCACGCGAATTAAGTAGCAAGACAACGTCCTATTGGCGGCTTGAAATTATCGCATCCCTATAAGTTATGCACAGAAAATAAGCAAATGAAGGACAAAATTATCCGCTACGCCAATAAATATAACTCGTTTATAAGTATTACCATTTATGTATTTCTATTATTAAACTGGGGAGAGCATGAATGGCCTGTATGATGTTACTACGGTAAATAGATTATAAATGCAATTATACTCCTTAAATTCCATAAGTAATTCGCATAATAATAATATTAGTTTCCAATGTTTTTAGGTTTTCAAGTAACGTTACCATTTTTTTTTTTTTTTTGATCGACTTTATGCGAATCAAATAATATCATTAGTAAAGTTTCGTAAAAAAAGTTCAAGGGCAAAAAGTGCAAATTAAATATTGCGAAGTACGCTCAGATATATTAAGATTTTGATTGGGCAAAATTCGTGAAATGGTTTTATTACGCGTTCAAACCTTACTTTTAAATTTTAATATATACATTTTTTTATTTAGATCGATAAAAGATAATTTTATATATATATACAAAAAAATTATATTATTTAGCTTAAAAAAAAAAAATTATTTCGATAAATAGAGAAATTTCATTATATATACATTTTTTTTTATTTAGATCGATAAAATAGAAATTTTTATGTATATAAAAAAAATTATATTATTTAGATTAAAAAAAAAAATTTATTTCGATTTTCGATAAAAAAGAAATTACTTGGATCGATAAAAAAATAATATAAAATAAATATGATAATAACTTATTATATCTCCTCCTTTTTTGGCACAATTTTATCATACTAGTATTACTAATACAAGTATTTACAGGGAAAAAAAATTTGTCGGAACGAAACGAAAAAAACGAAAAGGAAACCTTTCCTTTTAAATAAGCGAATGAAGAAAATGAAATATATATATATAATTTTAAATTCCAACCCTTTTCAAAAAGTCAACAATGTGTCTAATAACCTCATCAGGACTTTCATCTTGAGGTAAATGCCCACAATTACTTAATATCTTAAAATCCATTTTAGCGCCTGGAGGGGCAACCGAGGCAATCTCAGCATAAATTTCTCTGTGTTTATCAACATGCGTGTACTTGTCATCATCACCAGAAATATATAATATTGGTAATTGCGCTAAATAACTTTTGTAAGGTAAAATGTCTAATGGTATAAAATGTTTCATCAACCATGAAAGAGATTCATAAAAATTCGGCAAAGTTAGAGGGATTCGATAATTTGGCTTCACCACCGTTTCCCAATCAGGAATGGAATTACAGTCATGATAAAGTGATGTTAATGGTAAGTATCGATAAAGTGCAGCTTTTAAGAAAAGTCGACCTGGTGCTGAACCTAATATGTGTCGACCGATTGGCGGTGGGCCTAAAAAAAGTTGAACATTTTAGAAATAAAAAAAAAAAATCCTTCAAAAAAAAAAAGGAACAAGAATCGAAATGTTTTATTATATATTTTACCTTGGTCTTCAGGCATTATGGAAGGTGCTAATAAACATAAAGAATGTACTAAATTTGGATATTTAATAGCAAAGGAACAACTTATACTTCCGCCAGCAGAAACTCCAACAAATGAAATCTTTTTATCCTCATAACCTAAGGCAGATATAACCTGACGTGCAAAATCTACAGATGCCTCTTGCGTATAAGGATTTTTTCCTTCCTCCCAATGAGTTGGCCTCTCGGTAAAACCAAAGGTTGGTCTATCATAAGCTATAACATTACAATCTGTATAATCGGCCAAACGTTGCATAATATTCCTCCAAGTATATTGATTTCCAAGAATATGATGCAGTAAGAGAATTACAGGTTTATTTGGTTCATTTGGAATAAGTTGATTTTGTTGCAGTAATTGTTGGTGTTTTTGTGGAATCACTAATTTATAAAAAGTTAGGATTCCGTCAACTTCTATGAAACGTCCTTCAGGGTCGCTTGATGCTATTGATTCAAGAAAAACCCGTTGAATCGATGGAAGTTGTGGAAGCGACTGCGACATGTTGAACTAATAAGAAAAAAATTAAAAAAAAAAGAGAGAAAGGGAGAGAAAACTATAGTAAAAAAAAAAAATAGTTAAATTAAGTGAAAGATGAAAGAAGGACGTGTGAAGGTTAGAAATAAGATTCAAAAAAAATTGGATAAATATATATAAATATGGTGATGTGATTAATCATGATTTTTGGGGAGGGGAAATTTAATGCATGCACGCATTTACATAAACAATTTATAATGTCATGTAATATAATTAATATAATTTCATTGTATTCGGTCCGAGTATATGCCCGATATTGTGGCTCAACTAAGGTTAATCTCAACAAAGTATATTTGAAAAAGAGAGATTCCCCAATTATTTGGAACCAAAACACAAGGTATCATTCATTGTAAAGGATCAAATGCGAAGTGCGATGACGTAAAGATTCGGAAATCAAAACTTAATAAATACAATAATTCAGAAATGTGTTAAATTAAAGAATCTGCACATCGGATTTTCGAAATCATGTAATTTTTTTTTTTTTTTTTTGAAACTAAACGGGATCGTTTAAACGAAAGATTGATGAAAAGGCATTATAAAATGTTTTCAACACGTTTCAAATATCAATAACATTCAAAGGGTGGTTTCATTTTCAGATTTGATAAATAAATTAAATAAATTCTATTGAAACATGATCTATTCACTGGGAAAAGGTTTTTACGTTACTATGTTCTACAATGATACAATAGTTATAATGCCTTTATTATATATTTCGGAACATTTGCTAAAAGAGTCCTTCCCTTGAATTTTTTTACTTCTGTATTAAATTAAATCCGATGAATAATATTCGTACACCGTGTGAAAGACGTGTTACCGCGAAAATTTGAACCAGGTTATTTACATGAAATGTGTTACTTTCAAATACACCAATTAAAAATTCGGTCACACAAACAACTTTAAAATTACAAGATGATCAAATCTAAATATAGCCCAGCGTCGTTTTTCCATTTTCAACTTTTATGATTGTCAAGCATTTCGATCTGATTTTGTTTTAATTGTTCTATTATCAACCTTGCGTTACAAATAGAAATCTTCCTAACACTTATTTTTATTTTTTTACTTTCAGCTATTACTAAATTCGAATTGATTTATGGCTGGGTAAACGTTGCTCCCACTTTAACACCATACATCTGATAAATAAAATGTTCGGCTCTTCCCTTTAACAGAAAAGGCAATTGCTAATGTTGCGGTATACAACGTGACATGTGATTTTAAGAGTTTTTTTTTTTTGGCACCATCTCTTTCCTTAATTATTTCCTTACCTTTTTATATTATTGAAGAATTAACCATGACTAGATATGTTAGTGTATCTTATGAAATATTCGGTAGAGTACAAGGTATTTTGCCAAAAAAACTATTATTTACAGGAGAATTTCACTTGTTTTTTAGAATAAATCTTGATAAAGTGATTTCTTTGTTAATTATAGGAGTATGGTTTCGGAAATACACAAAGGACAAAGCGATTGAATTAAACCTTGTCGGTTATGTAAAAAACACAGGTTTGCTACGATGTAAAAAAATTTTTTAATTCAAATTTTTTGTTTTTTTTACGCTTGCCATTTTACTTAGAAAGAGGTACAGTAAGTGGTATCGCACAAGGTGAAAGAGAAAAAATCGAATGTTTGTAAGTAAGATACGCTTTATGATTAAAAATAAATCAAATAATATAAAATAATAATGATTATAATTAAAGAATTAAAAAATTGATTAAATTAATAATAATTTAGTAAACATTGGTTACGTTATGAAGGATCTCCTTCATCTAAAATTGACAAAGCCAATTTTAAAGAAGAAGTAATTGAAGCGATTGAATTTCATAGATTCGAAATTAAAAAATAAACAAAATTTATTCGAATTACTCGTTATCATCTTGATTGGGCTGGTTATTAAATTCATTCCTCTTAACTTGCACTTCATCATTGGTATCCCTACTTACTTCGCTTAAATTTCTTTCCAAATCCCTATCATTGTCATTTATATTTACAACTTCGTTCCTATCATCGAGAGAGTCCCAATCCTCCAAGTATTTATAATGACCAGGTATATGATCACTTCCATCACCCGTTCCGAGGAACCAACCATTATTACCAAAATGTAATCTATATGAGATCAGTGCCATACTAATTCCTATTAAGCCTCCCGTTATTATTTGAAATGGAAAATGTCTGTAATCCATTACCCTTGTTAATGATATCCATGTTGCAAAATATATTGGAAATAAAAGTATCAAGATTTTCCAAAAATGAGCTCCTCCTGTCCATGGTTTTGATTTTCCATTGATATACAACACGAAAAATACCCAACCCGCGTATGCTGTAGCTGAATGTCCGCTTGGAAATCTAAACAATGGTATTTGCTATAATATGATCTTTCATTTTATTTAAAAAAAACAAAAAATTTTCAAAGTTCATACCCTTGATATTCAATTTTACTTAACTTCTTCGTACAAATGTCATTTGTAAAATAAGTTTGAGTCTCGTTCATTGTACTTATTTGTGACATATCTGGTTGACATCTCGTTAAGAAAGTCGGACGAAGACCCAAATGACCTATACAAAGATTATCTTTACAATCGAATTTCTTCAAAGGAGAAATTTTAAAATAAACACTTACTTCCGATAGTAATCCAAGAAAGAGAGGTGAAAAATAATGCAAGTGCTAAAAAAAACAACATTATTAAATGATGAGACAAATCAAAGCAACCTTATGCTAAGCGTAAAACTTTCTCACCAACACTTGTAACGTGGCCGGTTACCATATGATAACAGTTCCAAAAGTCGTAAAAGTAGATAAGTTCCAATAAAAGCATAACAAGCCCGGGCAAAACTGTGTTAATGACCGTAGCCAATGAAGAAGAAATAATTTCATTCACAATTGGTCTCTTCAGCGAATTATCATTTATGGAGAAGTAAGCGATAGGCGGTTGAGGAGTCTTAAAGAACCTAAAACAAAAATCAATTTGTAAGATTTTTTTTATAAAAAAGGGAAAAAAGTGGAGAGATTTCTATTACCAATCGGTCAAGAGTAACATGACAATAATAAGAACCCAATCAAAAATTAATCCAACATAAATATGCCTTTTTCTCGAAGGAAAATTCCATGGTGACCATTTACGTGATTTTAAAAGTGATGGATCATAATATCTCTTTGGAAGTTTGATTAACGGCAAGCAATGCTTCATTCTATATTTTTAAAAAAATTGAAGGGAAAAATTAAATGATTAAATAAATACCAAATTTACTTGATGATGCATTTATGACATATATATGACTAATAAATTTATGAAATCATGTGACTTTTTTCAAAGGGAGAAGAAATAAAATGGTCAATTTCTTATGTTGGGAACAAAATAATTTAGTAAATTTCTGTGGGTCACATGATGCAGCGATTTAGGTCACGCGAGTTCACAATTAGTATAAAGCTATTTTTGTTTTAAAAATGTATATTAAAAAATATTTGTCTAACAATAAAAAATGAAACACCTCTTCTATTCATTAATTTTTAATATATTTACATTAAAGGTTAGCAATTAATCGAATTGAGTTTTAAAGTGTCGAGCAAATTTCGTAAAATTAATTATACCATGTGATTTAAACTTTATAATTTAAGCTATTACATTGATCGACATGATAGATGAATGAAAAAAAAAATTATAAAATGCTTCCGAGAAGGAGAAAGAAGGAGGATTTTCCATTCATCCATTTCTTTGATGAGCCTTTTCATTAAAAAATAAAAAAAATAAAAATATATTCATCAAAACGAGGCGCATGGGACTCGAACCCACAATCCCCAGATCCGAAGTCTGATGCCTTATCCATTAGGCCAACGCCCCAATATTATCGTATAAAGTTGTACAAAATTAGACATTTTATATTGTCAAAAAATTCCAATGTTTAGAACATGAATGGTGACGTCAACATGAATATCATCTAGATTTCGTAAGACTATAAAAATGCGATTATCAAAAAAATTTTCAATATACCAAGCTTTATTTTATCTGTCTTAAATCATGACAACACAAGAGGAAATTTTACAAGTTCATTCTTTCTATGATACGATCTTAATTCTCGATTTTGGTTCTCAATACTCGCATTTAATCACGAGACGCGTCAGAGAATTTGGTGTATATTGTGAAATGCTACCATGCACCCAAAAAATCAAAGGCTTAAGTTTCAATCCTAAAGGTAGATCAAAATCTTTTTATCTTCTATTAATGCGTGAATTGATTTTTGATATTATTCTTTTTTGATGTTAGGCGTCATCCTTTCCGGAAGTCCGTATTCGGTTTATGATAAGGATGCTCCACGTGTAGATTCCGAAGTATTTAACTTGGGCGTACCTGTATTAGGAATTTGCTACGGTCTTCAGGTAAAACGTCGAGAACTTTGATTTTATCAATTGATTGAAAGCATTTCTTTTGTATTTACATCATCAATTCTAAAATTTAGGAAATTGCGTGGAATCATGGAGGTTCAGTGGCACCTTGTAACCATAGAGAATATGGTCATGCAATATTGAACATTAACCATCAAGGTCATCCATTTATTGACAGATTATTTGACGGCATAGAAGGCCCTATCCAAGTATATAGAGACCCTTTTTTTTCTTTATTACAAATATTATTATTCCAACTCCTTTTCATGCTTATGAATCATCGAATAATATAGGTTTGGATGAGCCATGGGGATCAATTGGATAAAGTTCCCGAAAGTTTTAAAGTGATTGGGAATACATTAACTGCGCCATTTGCGGCCATAGCTCACGAAGAAAAACATTTATTTGGTATTCAATTTCATCCAGAGGTGACACACACGCCTCGAGGAAAAGAAATTATAAAGAATTTCGTTATAAACATTTGTGGATGCGAGACGAATTGGACAATGGTATGTAATTAAAAAAATAAATAATAATAATAAATAAAAAATAATTTTTAAATTATTAATCCTTTTTAACTATTTATTAGGAATCATTTATTGATAAAGAGATTGAGCGAATTCGCCAAATCGTAGGACCTAATGGGCAAGTAGTTGGAGCTGTAAGTGGTGGAGTTGATAGTACAGTCGCCGCACGACTGATGAAAGAAGCGATTGGTGATAGGTTTGTTGGTTATTAGTTAATTAGATGTTTTAACATTATAATTTAATATTCTAAACCTTGACATTGTTAGATTCCACGCTATCCTTGTTGATAATGGTGTCATGAGATTGAATGAGTGTGAGACAGTCAAGAAAGTGCTTGGTGATCACCTTGGAATAAATCTAAAGGTTGTAGATGCTGCTGATATGTTTCTTGATCGTCTCAAAGGTGTTACCGATCCTGAGAGGAAACGAAAGATTATTGGAAACACATTTATTGAAGTGTTTGAATTAGAATCATTGAAGATTGATCAAGAAACAAAAGAGGGCGGACACGGACAAATCGAATACCTTCTACAGGGAACTTTATATCCTGATGTTATAGAAAGTATTTCGTTTAAAGGACCGAGTGCTACAATAAAAACTCATCATGTATGCTATGACGATTAATAATTTTTTTTTTTAAAAAAAAAAAACTCAAAGGAAGGGTTGAATCTGATATTTTCTACAAAATTTAGAATGTTGGTGGATTATTAGAGGATATGAAATTGAAACTTATCGAACCTTTAAGAGAATTATTTAAGGGTAATTAGCATAAATCTTTAATCCTTTTAAATTTTCAACTGGTTAATAAATTTCACAAAATTTTTTATAGATGAAGTACGTGAACTCGGCAAGGTATTGAAGATTGATGAAGATTTGATTTGGCGTCATCCATTTCCTGGACCTGGTATTGCAATTCGTGTATTGGGTGAAGTTACGCCTAGTCAGGTTGCAATAGCTCGAGCAGCGGATCACATTTATATTGATGAGATAAAGAAAGCAGGACTTTATCGTAAAATATCTCAAGCTTATGCTGCTTTATTGCCGGTTAAAGCAGTTGGAGTTATGGGTGATAGAAGAACTTACGAACAAGTGATTGTTCTAAGAGCTGTTGAAACCACAGATTTTATGACAGCAGATTGGTAAATTTATGCACTTTTAACAACGATTGTTTTTAATTTTTATCATATTGACGGATTTTTTTTTGTTGATTACATGTTTAGGTATCCTTTCCCTTATGATATTTTGAAAAAGATCAGTAATCGAATCATCAATGAAGTTAAAGGTAAAAAAAAAAAATACATTTTCTGTTCCTCTTTCATTTGATTAAAGCAAATCTTCTTTCAACAGGTGTAAATCGGGTCACATATGATATATCTAGTAAACCTCCAGCTACGATCGAATGGTAAGTTAACGATAATTTGATCATTTTAAATTTTCTCTTTACAAATGTTTTATTGCTTAATAAACTTTCAATTTTTTCAGGGAATAAACGGTTCTTTTTAATAAGGTTTGTTAAATGCGTGAAATAACAAATCATCTCATTTACTAAATTTTGGGTGTTCGCCACTATTGTACATAAATTAATAAGCGATTAGAATGAAAATTGTTGGCATGTCATCTTAGATACGTTTCAACCAGTTCAATTTCATATAATAATTCTTCATTTACTGTATGTCATTCAAAAACATCATCATCAACCACAAATAAAATGCAATGTCACATTACATCTAGAATTTTAACCAATTGGGATAATATAGAACAACCTTTTAGTTAGCAGATAGTCTTTTTTTATTGCCAGTATTTGAGGGACAGTTTGGGACATAGTGTGGGACTCTCAAAATGTTTGGGACATAGAAAATGTACATCACTGCCTCCATTCTGGAGGCCAATGTTCGAATTCGTTTTACTTCCATTCGTTTATTCAAATTTCTTTATACCTTTTATTTATGAACTAAAAAGAATATTAAGTTGTTGAGTTTTGAAGGAATAGTCAACAGTAACTTTAAATACCAATATCAAAAGTATGATTTTCACATTTATATTTAATTCGATTTAATCATTTGTACAAATAAAAAGAGCCATATGTAAATTATAATCCGAGTATTTAAAAAATTGTATAAATATTAATAAGGTTATCTTATAATAATCTCGAAAAATAACTAACTGAAGTTAGTATTATTACAATTTGATTTGTATTTTTACTAATATAAAAAAATTTTTATATTATCCTTATTTTAGGTTATTGATTTCCTCTTATATAGTTCCGCTCTCATCTTAATAAGAAACTCAAGACACCGGATAACCGTGGACTGTAGTATTATTTCCTTGCAAATAGCCTTTCTGTATTAACATTTAAAGTATCGGTATTTTTATACATAGCAACTTACTATGATACTTGAATTTTATGAAAAAATGAAATAGACCGTATCATTTTCTTGAAGCCATTTTCAATAGAATATCTCATCTGACTTTTAGATTAGGATAGTTACGATGCTTTTAACAAAAGGATTATTAATCATCCAACTTATATAAAATTTATGGAACGTCATCATGAATTTTAACTTTGTAAAGTTGATAACTTTCGGGAATAAATTCCTCTTGGGTTTTGGGTCCTTATTTTTTTTATATAAAATCCTTAGTATATAAATAATTTATTAATTAATTAATTATGTGTATTGTGTGCGATTGCTCGGTACGAAAAAAAAAAACTCTGAAAATATACATGTATGCCCAAACGCAAAATGATTTGCCTTATCTTTTTGAAAGATTTCAATATATTCGATGAATACCGTAAATTCAAAAAATCCAAGAGCGAATCACTTCCGGTTCTTTCTCAATGCGTATTACTTCTTAGTATGTGGAGAAGCGCTAGAATTAACTTGACAATCAATCAATCACGCGAGAAAATGTATTGAGAAAACTTGGATGAAACCAATCAAACCATTTTTTGGTTTCATTGTTCTGGAAGATATCATTTCTAGATTTGAGAAAATCGGAAAATTTCGTTGTACCTAAAGTCAATAGAGACATGCTTTACTAATGAAAATTTTCAAAAGAAGAAATGACAGATATTGTTCAAACATTCTTTTGTAATGCCATATCGTTACGAGAACTTAATAGGGATACACTGACTCATTGATTATTTACTTCGCGTTTCCAAGTTGAAAAACTGATCCATTGAGTAAATGAGTAATGATTTTGAAAAAATACATGTGTATCGCTCTGTAATTACTAGGAAAAGCTGTTTGCGTAGATATAAATGTTAATTGTTTGACAAGTCCATTATTTTTTTTTGTTGACTCAATCCTGCTTTTAACAGCATATTGGAAGATTTAGTGGTTATCGCAATAGCATTAAGCTATGAAACCGGTTTAATTTAACAAAACTAGATGGAAGACGAACATTGCTAACTAACGATCTTATCTGAAATTTGGCAATTTTTTTTGCAAAGCTTGGCAAAATTTGGCTTAAGTTACAAAAATCGATAGTTATTTGTTACACCACACATAATTTAGCATTAGATCTTTCGTCAAACATTCAGCCGATTCGGTCATGTGATTCATAAAAAATTTGGCTTAAGTTTTACATAATTTAGCATTATTTCGGCATTAAGACCTTTCGGTTATAATATTCAGCAAAATTTCAGTTAGACTTAAGATTTGGCAACAAATTGAATTGACTATATCTCACTGGTTGATCTGCTGAGCTGATTTTTGCAAAAATTATAAAAACATTCCGAGAGTAATCGTCTCAAAGAGATGATACATTCATCCCAAAGGAACATTACATTCGTCCTCAAAGGAATGATACAATCGTCTCCAAAGGAACAATACATTCATTCCAAAAGAGATAATAGAAATCATCTCAAAAGGAACGATACAATCATCCCAAAAGAGACGATAAAAATCGTTCTTAAAGGAACGATACAATCGTCACAAAAGAGATGATAGAAATTGTCTCAAGAGATGATAAAAATCGTTCCTAAAGGAACAAAATATCATTTCCAAAGAAACGATAGAAATCGTCCTCAAAGAAATGATGTATCATCATTCCAAAGAACAATTCAATTATCGTTCTGAAAGAATGATGATTTTTTCATCATTTTTAAGGAATAATACATCATCATTTTGAAAGAATGATGTTTTTTTTTATTGTTATTTTAGAACGATTCATCATTGTTCCTTTAGAACAATGTTTTTATTATTCTTTCAGAACGATTTATTATCATTCCTTTAGAGGATGATTTTTTACCATTCTTAAGGAATGATATTTTTCATCATTTTTTTGGAATGATAAAATTATTATTCCTTTCGAACAATTTTTTTATCGTTCGTAAAGAACAATCAAATTATTGTTCCTTTCAAATGATTTTCTATATCGTTCGTAAGGAATAATTAAACTATCGTTCCTTTTGAACAATTTTATCATCATTTATAAGGAAGAATTAAACTACTATTCCTTTCGAGCAATTTTCTATATCGTTCCAATCGTATAATACAAAATCATCCATTTGTAGTATTTATGATAAATAGTATAAATAATTCGGATTAATTGAAATTTTAGTTCAGTTTATAATATAAAACTGACTAACTTTTGGAATATTCTGAAAAAATTTATTTTATTTTTTTTTTTTTCCTTGTTTTTTTAGGAAATTCTTATTTTAGAATTAAGGTAAGCAAATCAGAAGTGACTTTTATAGCATTTTCCTTTTTTTGTTTTTGTTTTTTAGGAAATTCTTATTTTGAAAATTAAGGTAAGCAAATCAGAAGTAACTTTTAGATAGTTTTTACTTTGTTTTTTTTGTTTTTTTTAGGAAATTTCTCTTTTTAAAACTAAGGTAAGTCTTTCGGAGGTAACTTTGGATGGTTTTTAACCTTTTTTTCTTTATTTTTTTTTACTTTCTTTAGGAATACATTAAGGTAAGCCTTTCAGAAGTGGTATTTTGGTGGGTTTCTAACTTTTTTCTTTATTTTTTCTTTATTTTTTTTTAGGAATACATTAAGATAAGCCTTTAAAAGTGGTATTTTAATGAGTTTTAACTTTTTTCTTTATTTTTTCTTTATTTTTTTTTAGGAATCATTAAGGTAAGCCTTCAGAAGTGATATTTTTGTGGGTTTTCTAACTGTTTTTTTTATTATTTCTTTACTTTTTTTAGGAATACATTAAGGTAAGCCTTTCAGAGGTGGTATTTTGGTAGTTTTCTAACTGTTTTCTTTATTTTTTCTTTACTTTCTTTAGGAATATATTAAGGTAAGCCTTTCAGAGGTGGTATTTTGATGGTTTTCTAACTGTTTTCTTTATTTTTGTTTTTTAGGAATACATTAAGGTAAGCTTTCAAAAGTAGTATTTTGGTGGTTTTCTAACCGTTTTCTTTATTTTTTCTTTACTTTTTTTTAGGAATACATTAAGATAAGCCTTCAGAAGTGGTATTTTAGTGGGGTTTATAACTGATTTCTTTATTTTTTTCTTATTTTTAAAAAATCAAATATATCTTTTTAGAATAAAATATAATGCAATATATATTCTTTTTGAGTAATTTATTATGTAATAATAAAATAAAATTATAAATCATAAATAAACAATATAAGTTTTATTAGTTTCGATTTTTTAATTGATTTTTGCTGATTGTTGACCGATTTTATACTGAATTTTAACCAAGTTTTAACATAAATGCTGATTGATGGCTGATTTTCCATTTATTCAAAGTGCTGATTTTTTAGTAATGATCGGTAGAATTAGATTATATTTTGGTCAACTTTCAGCACTTTAAATGTGACGAATTATATTATTTTACCTATGATATATCAAATAACTACCAATCGTTAATGTCGAATGTTTTTTGAATGGCATGAAAATGGGAAACTTCAGCTATAACTAAAAATGCTAATTGTTTAGCAATGATTGGCATAAATTAGATTATATTTTGGCCAATATTCGGTACTTTAAAAAGTGATGAAATGAATTGTTCTGACTAGTAATAATATATTTATGTCTTCTTTTAGTTTTTAGATACTTCTATGATAAATATAAAGGAGGACATTTAACCTACAAAACTCTTCAAACTGATATCTATTACATAATGGTGATGGCTATGGTTTATGTGAATAATATTTTCTTTCTTACATTTTTTCTAATATCTATTAACAAATTGTATGTTAAATTTATCTTATAGAAGGAATATTCTTTTAACTCTTCATCTCTATTCCAATATCTTTTATAGTGGATTGTGATATATATTCTGTATTTGTAACTCTTATAACTCTAGTAAACTCGCCTACTATTTTACAAATCCATCTTAATGTTTCCTCACTAAGATTTAAAGTCATGAATATTCAGTTTGAATAATAGAGTGGTATACCTAAAATAAGGTGATACATTTCTTAGGTAGATATGTTTTTTTCTGCAA